AATGCTCCCAAAAATGGCTCTACAGCATGTAAAAATATCTGACGTTGTGTGAATAAACTTATATAAATGTTTTATCATCATTTCTACCCTCCAGATCCTCCTGGCAAACCTGAGGTGACAGACATCACCCGCTCTTCTGTGTCATTGTGCTGGACGGTGCCCTTCAATGATGGTGGCAGTAAGATCATTGGTTATGTGGTGGAGAGAAAAGTCTACAGCACAGATGAGTGGGATGACAACCGCTGGCTCAAGTGCAACTATACCACAATCACAGAGAACTACTTCACCATCACAAACCTAGGTGAAGGAGAGACCTATGAATACCGTGTCGTTGCCAAGAATGCTGCAGGTGTTCAAAGTGTCCCTTCAGAGACCACTGGACCAGTCACATGCAAGGATGAATATTGTAAGTTCAAGGGTTTTGTTTGTTTGTTTGTTTGTTTTTACCTTGATCGTATTTAAATAAGTTAATCTACATTTTCTGTTATTTTAGAAACAATAACTAACTATGAATGAGTGTAACTTTAAAGAAAAAAAAGCTCCCCTGCTTGGTGTACCAGGCAGAATATCAATAAAAATGACTAAAACAAAGATTGTTTTCAAGGGGGCGGTTCAATATACTGGTATATGTCGTTATTTTTTAATGTAACACTAATCATCCCTTACTTTTTGCAGCTCCTCCCAAAGCTGAACTTGACAGCAAACTGATAGGTGAGACTGTCACTGTTACTGCTGGTTCTGACCTCGTCTTGGACGGTGCTGTGGGTGGTAAACCAGAGCCTACAGTGTACTGGTCAAAGGGTGACAAGATTTTAGAGCTTGGAGAGAAATATTCACTGACCTACACTGCCACTAGAGCCATGGCTGTCATCAAGAGCTGTGACAGATACGACACAGGTAGATACATTCTAACTGTCAAGAATGCCAGTGGAATTAAGACGGCAGCTGTCAGCGTCAAAGTTCTAGGTGAGCAGCCAAAAGGACATTAATTAATTAGTGTGTCTTAATAGTTTGAACTTTCTGATCGAAATGTTGTTTTCTGTCTGTTAGACACTCCTGGAGCTCCAGCTGATAGGATTGTAATCAGCAGAGTCACAGAGGAAAAATGTACAGTGTCTTGGAAGATACCTCTGGAGGATGGTGGAGACTCTGTCACCCATTACATCGTGGAACGTCGTGAGACCAGCCGCCTCAACTGGGTCATCATGGAGACTGAGTGCAAGACCCTGTCATGTGTCAGCACTAGGTTGATCAAGAACAATGAGTACATCTTTAGGGTTAGAGGTGTCAATAAGTATGGGGTTGGAGTTCCTTTGGAATCTGATCCCATCATCGCCAGAAATGCTTACAGTAAGCTGCAGCATTTTTCCAAATCTTACTTACAATTTCAATTTTGGATTATATTACATCTTATGAAAGGGAAAACGTAATGTAGATGTGTTTGCGTGACTCTGACCTGGTCCCACTCTTCCACAGCAATCCCCTCCCAGCCAGGCACACCAGAGGCGACTGCAGTGGGCAAGGAGCATGTTATCATCGAGTGGCAGAAGCCTGAGAGTGATGGAGGAAGCGAGCTCAAAAACTACATCGTTGAAAAACGAGAGAAGAACAGTAGCAGGTCAGAACAAATTCTGGATTCATTGAAGATGTTGAGACATCATTTCTTAAATAAAGATACTTATCCTTCTCTTTCATGGTGTTGTTTTGTTGTTTGGACCAGGTGGACTCGAGTGAATAAGACCTACACCATCTACGACACCCGTCTGAAGATCACAGGCCTACTGGAGGGAAGCGAGTACCAGTTCAGAGTTACAGCAGTCAACAATGCTGGATACAGCCAGCCAAGTGACACCTCAGTATACATCCTCTGTAAAGACCCCACATGTAAGACATTTTTACTTAAAACTGTAAAAACTGTAGACATTGTCCTTTTAATGCCAAGAGAAAGGAGATATTATTTAATATTTTTCATTTCATTCAGTTCACTTTTATTTATATAGCACCAATTCACAGCAGAAGTCACCATAAGGTGTTTTATATTGTAAGGTAAAAATGCTAAAATGACAGAAAGAAACACAACAATCATACTAACCACTAATAGCAAGCACTTGGCAACAATGGGAAGGAAACTTTTAACAGGAAGAAACCTCCATCAGAACCAGGTTCAGGGGAAGAGCAGCCATCCCCACGATCAGTTGGGAATAAGGGGAAAGAGAGGAGAAAGATACCGGAAAAAGGCAAACTAAAGGATAGGCAGAGTTTAATATTTACTAAAGATTTAATACAGTAGGCAATGAAGGCAGTCCAACATACTGTGTTAATGTGGACATATGCTGATTAAAAAAGACTCCAAGATTCTTCACAGTGTTATTGGAGGCCAAGGTAAGTATCTGGTTAGACACCATGTTGTTTTAGGCCTGAGTACATCAAGCCCTGTTTTCTCTGAAATTAGTAAATTAACAAAGTAGTAAATTAGAGGTATTTCAGGTCTTTAAGACATGCCTTTGGTTTAACTAGTTGTGGAACTTCATAATTAACCTTTTTGTGCGAAGAAAACTCCCCATTTACATGCACATAGCACAGTGCTATTGAACCCCACATTGTGGTGTAGTCGCACACAAGATAAGTACTGACAGAGGCCATTTGATCATCTGTAACCTTCACTAGTGATATATTTATACTGTGATACACTCTAAATCCTGGCTTTGTCATAATAAACTGAGGACCCAAAATACAGAATCACAGGCTTTATTGCTAAGCTTGTAACAAACCACAGCATCAAGGGTCATGTTTTGGGGTGGGGGGTTAATATATTCAGCCAAATTTTAAGAAATAAAAGCTCCAAAATGTGATGGATTCCATCTCTCCTAAGAAGACTACGTTTTCCCCAGACTGCAACTCTGGTGCTCTGGTTTTTGGTCCCAAAGTTTTAGAGTAATTTATATAGCACCAAATCACAACAAGAGTCACCTCAAGGCGCTTTATATTGTACAGTAGATACAGAGAAAAACCCAACAATCATATGACCCCCTATGAGCAGCACTTTGGCGACAGTGGGAAGGAAAAACTCCCTTTTAACAGGAAGAAACCTCC